AGGGGAAAGAATGTAGCCGCCATGTAGAAACAGAAAGTTTCCACTGGTGACGCGGTTCATCAATCTGGTTCAATCGAATGGAAATAAATAAAAAATAGCATGAGATCTCACGCGTCTCTGTCCATAGGATATATTGAGCATAATTGGTTTGTTGCCAAAAATTGGCATGCCAATGTTTGGCATTGTGCCAAATATTGGCAACTACTTGGTTGGCTACGAGTTGTTTTGCCTCTCTCATATAAAGTTGCCAATAACTGGCAAGTCTCGGTATTGCCAATAGTTGGCAGTGCAAACCAATTATGCTCATTATCACTATGGGTTGTTGGAATATATGGATGCAAAGAAATTGAAAGATCTTTAACAATGGAACTCCTACGGTAAGATCATGGAAATTCAAGCTGAAACATGACCTTTTACTGGCCAGGATCAGAACTAAATCAAAGAATGTGGACAGTCTGGATGAATGGATCGATTCCTTGGTCCTCTAGGTTTCCTCTCCCATGATTATCACCATGCTTGGTAGAAAAAGACTGGCATCGGATAGCCCTTTGGAGCTGTTTTTATTTCCTTTCCTTTAGTTTGATGTAAATAACTTCTATTAGATGTTGATGGAAAACAACTTCAAAAAAAATCCCGTCAACAGGAGATCCAGGTAATGAGGCGAAGGTAAAAAAGCTATGAAAATATTCTAATCATACCATTCTTGTAATTTGACTGTTTATAGTGACTCAACTCAATGTTTCTAACACGAAACCTCATGAAACTCTTGTCTTCATTAATCCTCTGTTTTCATATGCATTTCTATTATATTTTTAATTTTCCCTATCACTACATTTTCATAATCCGGCGAATCAAAGACACCCCCGGCATACATGCAAAGGCCACCTATCTAGTCTTGTAACAAGGGAAAACCTTTTCATCGGATTCGTCAAGTTTTCCACGAATATTGTCATTTCTACTTCAACCAAGTTCACATCGTCAATATTACCACCGTGGAAAATATATGGAAGTGTGCTAGTTATGTGAGGCTAGTGACTACCCACTTAATATGAACTTTGATAACAAGATAGTAAGTCCCAAGATCTTGGACCAAGGAAAAACAACTTTTTACCAAATAGAAACTCCAAAACAATCAATATCTGTAGCTACCATAAGTACAGTTAAAAAGTGCTGGTACACCAAAAAACTGTACCAGCTCGCTGGAGGACTCCAGGAAGTGCAAACTGTATATTTTAGTTTCAGGTGTGATTGGGTCACATGAATAAAAAGTTAAAAACATAGCAATAAAGAAAACACATGAATATGCGAGTGCAAAATCGATGATTACAGAATATGCGAAAGTTGCAAGATTATGTAAAATGAATGGGTGAACAAAATGTTTGACTGAATGTAAAAAAGTTTGAGAGTAGGTGCGCATTGAATTAATCAATTCTTAGAAATTTTGTGGAATAAGCATACTATCTAAAAAAACGTAAGTCTACCATTCACTCTGTAATTCTGGCCCCACTAGCTCCATATACCTGGCGACGCATAGCACCGATGAGGCTATGGTGCCTCAGTGGCGTCGTCGGCTTCTTGGCCATGTCATCGCAAACGTGGCCTCTCAACAAGCTGGATAAGACGCTGAGAATCAGAAAGGGTGACACTAGATATCAACTGGGCACCCCAATTAGATTGATTACACTGTTGATGAGTTCTTCATTGACTCGGAGAAGGGAGAGTGCTTAAAATCAGGTAAGATGTCTATTGTGGATCCTTCCTTTATCCTTGATAGCTGTAGTTAATACTGTTGCATCAAGATAACTGAGGCACTGAACAACCTTGTAGCAGAATAACAAAATAGCAACCTGGGGCATATCTTGAAATGTCAGTGACAGAGAGAAAAATCTAATACAAGGAAACTAAATTAACTGACAGTATTATGCAAGCTCACCAGAACAAAGATAGTATGTTGAATATATAGGTTGACTAGCTAATAGAATATCAGTTGTATGAACTTGTAAACAAAATAAATACTGACCTGCAGTTTGCTTTTATCGGCCTTCTGGATGTGCAATATCTGAAAATATGGCTTCCTGTGCTGCAACGCTAATTGTTGAGTTGGTAGATGGTCTGTCTGAATCCACCGCGGTGATCTGAAGAGATGACGCACTCTCGGCACAGCTGCTGTTGTAGCTTGCACTATCCTGCACCTGGAGTGCGACCTCAAGGTTCCAGAGTACATCACCCATTGATGGCCTATCTATGCTGCGATCAGCAACACATTTCTCCGCTATCTCTGCAAATATCCTGAAGCACTCAAGGGTGATTTCCTCCTTAACACGGGGGTCGATGATCTCCTCGAGTGCACCTTTCTTTCGGCAAGATAGCGCCCAGTCACGCAAGCTCACTTGCTCCTCGGGGAGCTTGGTGTTTATCACAGGGCGTGCACACAGGGTCTCAAACAACACGACCCCGAAAGAGTACACATCTGATTTTTTGGTGAGACGCTGCAGCCGGAAGTACTCCGGATCAAGATATCCAAAGGTGCCTTTTACAGCGGTGCTCATGTGGGTGTTGTCAATGTCTGGACTAGCCTTAGACAGACCAAAGTCGGAAACCTTTGCCATGAACCTATCATCCAACAGGATGTTGGTAGTCTTAACGTCACGGTGGATGATTCCTTGCTCTGCACCAGTGTGGAGGTAATGCAGTCCTCGGGCTGCACCGATGCAAATCTCAAGGCGCTGCTGCCACGACAGTGGTGGGTTTCTGGTGTTGTATAGATGCTCACGCAATGTTCCATGAGCCATGTAATCATATACCAGAATCATCTCATTCTTCTCCTCACAGTAACCAATCAGAGACACAAGGTGGCGATGTCAGAAATTGCACAACATCTCGATTTCAGTCTGGAACTCATGAAAGCCTTGTTGGGATTTCTGATTGCATCGCTTGATCGCCACCTTTGTCCCTCCATCTATATCGCCGATGTAGACATTCCCGAAACCGCCTCTGCCGATGATAAGTGCTCCATCAAAGTCTTTGGTGGCAACTTGAATTTCTGCAAATGAGAAACGATGGACGATATCACATGTAGACTTTTTGCGTTCAGTAGGACGATGTCCATAGTCGGTCTTGCAAGAACTCTTTGCAGCCTTCTTCCGTCTGCAGATAACACACGTGCTGAAAAGGGCAATCAATATGAAAGCAAAACCACCTGCAGTTCCGCTGATGGCTGCTTGCATGTCACCTTCGGGTTTTCTTGCATCGCTAGATAGCCAACTAGGATCCACAGGAATTTGTGGGATTGGAGGATTGTGCCCGGCAAGATTGCTCACTCCGTAACCCTGTAGCTTGAACACCTCAAGACCATTCAGTATTGCATCAAAATACACTAGTTTAACTGAGAGATCAGGGTGAAGTGCAATCCACATGTCTACCTGACCGGAACCAGTAGACATGATAACATAGTCTGTGTATAATGTTCTACCGATTCCTCCGCTCAAGACGATGACATCCATTTGCTGTGCCGCTGTCTGGTTGTTGATATATATGAAGAACACCCTCTGATTCACCTTGGTAATGGGATGCTGAATCTCACAGAAATGGAACCTTAGGAGGTAAAAGAAACCCCCATCAACCGGTAAAATCCATGTAAGGTTGTAATTCAGGTTGATCTGTGGAATTGGCCCCATTGACCGAGCTGTACCATAGACATCAACTGGGGCGGTGTAATTCGGCACTTTGGATGTATAACTGATAGTCAAATTATCATCTTTCGACAAGGTCGCCAGAGCCACCAGATATGTACGGGGCGTCATTGGCCCAGGAGCGGTAAAAGCCCGAGTCACCTTTTGGGGAAATGTCTTGGCCCCCGACATTGAGCCGGTACATAGTCTGGAGGCTCGTGTCAACGTCGAATGAGAATGGAGAAATGTTATCACCGCTGACAAAGGTTGTGTCAGGTGTTGTGAAGATGTCAGGCGTGGGCACAATCTCAATGCCATTCACAAATGCATAAGAACCAGTGTGATGTGCTGATGGGGTAAAGGTGAGGTTCAAGCTACCTGAAGAAACATTCACCGAGAATTCACACACAAGGTAGGCAGAAATGATCGCCTGAGCTGTTTGCGAAGCATTGAAGTCATTTAAGAGGACAATATTCCGTGTCATGACACTGAAGAAGGCATCTGAGACAGCATAGTTTCCGTGAGCACTCGGATAGAAGTAGAGGCGTAAGAACATGCGGCCTGGGCTGACAGGGAAGGAATAGGTGTAATTTGAAGTGAAGATGCGTGCAGTCATATAAGGGACCTTGGAGGGGAGTGAAGGGTCTTGGTATGAAGCACTGGCTGCAACTCCTTTCACTGGTGGCGCGAACTTGGAGCTGGCGTCCCCGTCCCATGTACGACCACTATCATCAATGTTTTGGCTTGATGCTCCGCAATTTAGGAGGATGAGGCCAGAGGCCGTGGAGTTGTTATCAGTCGCCAGGGCAATCGACAAGAGAACTAACAGTGTGAGGCATGTAAGGCTAACTGGAAGGGTTGGGAATGCCATTGTCATGGTTGGTGTACCAGGATCAAAAGTTTGGAGACTCAATTACATCAACTTGCTACAAGATATCTCTAGGGGCAGCTGCATAGAGCAAGAACATGGTGATTTTCTTGATAGGATTTGGAGCAAGAAACTGTCAGGAAAATAGAGGAACTTAGGATAGTATTATTGTTCAGTAAAGAACTCACGCCTAGAGAGCCATAGAACCTGTAATCGCAGGAAAAAAAAAGCTAAATTCAGTAAATTAAATAGTGGCAATATGAACAATAGATAAAAGGCAGAGCATCCACGTGTCTGAGTAAGAGAACACTGCTAATAATTGCAAGAATTTTCGCAAATCGAAGTTCCTGGTATCACCAAAAGTTGGAAACTGTACAAGAAGATATAAATAGACAAATGCTCATTACTAATTTCTTTTCAACAGTAGTACGAATAAGAAAAAATGATTGCGAAAATTTATCTAAACAGAAGTATATATATCTCACAGGGGGAGATCCATCATGTTACTATAACGTGTATAAAGGAGAAGTTTAAGAAAGAAATAAGGTAAGAAGTACTAGTACATATTTGTGGATGAAGAAGTCACACCAAAAGAAAAAAAAACATGGAGCAACCGTCCTGAATGTTCATTCTACATCTAGAAAAGAAATTGCGGCCAACTTGCCTTTTATTTTTGACGTTTCCCCTAAATGCAGATCTACTCTTCTTGCTAGGTTGGAGATCATACTTTATAGTCTAACAAAACCAAACAATCTAAGAAGGAAAACGCCAAATGTTCCCACTCCAAAATACATAGTAGGTGGGGTCGTAGATGAATGAACTAAGCTCGGGGGAACCCTGTGGCCAAATTAGGAGCGGAAACTGCCAATATTGGAACCCTTCACAGATTTAAGCCCGAGACTGTACACACAGAGCATATCCAACCGAATCAAGTAGGATAAGGAGCTCGAAAAGAAGGAGGATGATGAATGGTTACCTGAACAGGAAGGCCGAGCTCGTGCGGGAAGAAAGAACAAAGCCACGGACACAGAAAATAAACAGCACGCCAAGCAACTCAGGACAAATGATAGCCAAAGAATAAATATTGAATGGTCTCTTGTACACATAAAGACAAACATCTCACAGTCTTTGATTTTTATCACTCCAAAAGACTACATACATTTTGGCATCTACAGAAAGGTCTATACTGATTTTCCATGTCCATAGCACAACTGCAGGGAATAAAACTTTATTATAAAGCTACAAATGTGTAACATCTATAATGTTACTTCAATTCCGTACATACATGTTTTCGTAGAAACTCGCCACACTCACAACATGGCATACTAGGAAACTATGAACTATTCAGACAAAAGAAGAAAATATTTTTGTTATTTCGTCAAGATCACATTAGCACGATGCAGATTAATCACGCTACTCTACTCCCGTCTCCCGGTCATAAACCACTTAGCTTAAACCTCTATTGTCCACCGGAAAGTCATTGTTTCACGAAAGCATAGGGTTGTTTATGCTATGTAGCAAGTGGAACAATTTGTGACCAGTCAGCCAGTCAAGAGAACAGAAAGCTACTGCCAGGATAAGGACATCATTTTGTACTACCATGCCATGGATGAGAGTAGCTGGAGGACTAGATCCATGTTAATTCCTGGTTCCAGATTGGCACAAGGGAACAGCTTGGTTGTGATTCTGTTGCAAATGGCAGTCGAAATGTCAAGTGGAGATGCTTCCTAACAAACACCTGGACACTGTAACTCTAAACTAATTAAACATGAGATTCAAGAGTTATCTTTCAGACCTCCGTCAAAATCTCGAGGCTGACCACCGCGTCGTCATGATTTGGATCGAAGGGCTCCCACATCAGTGGGGTGCGCATATGGACCAGTACTCTGTATCTGTCCTTTGAAGCGGTCAGCTGCATCCATTTTGGCCTTAATGGCTTGAAACTTAAGCTCTGCGGTCATCTGGACACAAAATCAAAATGAACACAGTTTGTTCAATCTCTATATATGCCAAGCCCAACAATTGTGCAAAAAACTTGCGAATGTGCAGTAATATTTTTCACCATGAAGCTGAAAGAAACCTGAATGAGATGCGCTCGAGCACACCCGACCCCACCTCCATCCCCGCCCGCCTCCACCACTACCAGGCACGCCCGCTCGTCGACCTGCTGGCCCTGGCCCCAAACGACGTTTCCGGCAACCCCCGGCCCCCGTCGCCAGCGCGGCCATCCCTCCGAACACCCCGCACCACGGCATCTCCTCCGTCGCCGGCTAGCACCCCGCACCGCCGACCCTAACCTACTCAGGCCGTCTCCGGCGGCTCGTCACGCTACGGCTCGGCCGGTTCGCCGCCGCTGCGCGGGTCTGTTGGGTCGGGTCCATTGAGGCGGGTCGTTGGGGGGTGACGGCGGAATCGACACTCGCCAGCAAGCCCCGTGTTGGCAGGGCGAAAAGACTACAATGCCCTTTGAGCTGGATATATATAATCAGATTTCAGAGGGAGCTTGTGTAAAATTGTAGTACTACTATTGCATTGTACAATGTTGGACAGGAAAGACTACTATAGCAAGAACATTTTTGATGATGTGAAATAATTTGCATCATGTTATTTGAAATAAATTATTTTGAACTATTTTCTTTGAATTTATAATCGTATGTACCATTTGAGATCGTCCATGTGCATCAAACGCTCAAATCTATCACTAGTTATTAACACATTTTTCTCAGAGCAAAGTTGAAGGACATTCCGATCATTTTAGCCTGGACCGCAAAGCTCGCTTTCCCCTTCCCATAATGTTCTTCATCTTTGGCTTGTGGCCACAACATGAAATCTTCAACCAAAGTGGTACTCTAGTTGGACCAAGCTCCCCCCTTCTCTCTGTGTGTGGGCTTTCCTATTTGCACTGTATACAATTCTTAAAGTTTTTTATTACTATATACAATAAAAATACCTAACAAGTTCACAAGATTTTGGGTGAAGCTTTCAGAAAAGGAAATTATATAAACATATGGTTAGGCTTTTAGAAATTGGAGTTTCAAAACTCTTTGGTGAGCTTTCGGAAAGGAAGACTTTCACAGAGGCTTGGTCGAACTTTCAGAAAATAAACTTTAATTTTTTTTGCCAAATTTCACAAAGGAAACTTCCCCATTTTCCCCAAACTTTTAAATGAACTTTCAGAATTTTCAAAAGTTCTCACAAGTTCCACAAATTTGTATTTCACTTTCATATGAAGTTTAAGGACTCCGGCAACTACAAGCAACTGTGGTCACCCTCC